TTATCGCAAGGGTATGGTCGGGCTCGTAGCGGAGAATCTCCCCACGTTCGAGCGTCATTTCGGGGCTCCTTTCGATCCGGAGGCGGCTGGCTTCGACGTCCTGATGGCTGATGCCCATGCGGGAGCCCTTGAGCTGCTGAGAGAGCAGGCGGAAGCCAAAGCTAGTGAAGAATGCAAGCAGGCTCTTTCCAAAGTTCCAGCTCCGGACGTTGATCAAAAGTGATTTCCCGTTCATGACCTTGTACTTGCACAACTTTTCCATTATTTTCACTATCTTGTGATTTCCCGGCCGATAGTGCCGAAGAATAAAAATCATTCTTTGCTCCATGCTCGTCTGGCTTTTTTTTTTTTTTTTTTTTTTTTCTTTTTTTTTTTTTTTCTTTTTTTTTTTTCGGAGTCTTTTAGTCTTCGTTCGTCCTTGGTCCCTGGTCCCACCGGCGTCCCCACTTCGAGGAGACGTTCGGTGTCCGCCGACATCACAAGGAGGAACAGGTTTATCTACATCGAGATTCCCCCCTTTTTTCGTTCGTCCGTGGTCCTTTAGCCTTACCGACGTCTCTTGCTTCGATGAGGACGCTAGGTACCCAAAGAACTCGCAGGGACGAACAGGTCTACCCTCACGGGTCCCCGACTTTGTTATCCCACGTCCATCGATCCATGGTCATTTGTGGGATAAACAGGTTTATCTTGGCGGGCTCCCTTGGTTCGTCTAGCCCCCTCCGCGTCTCTACTAACCTCTACATCGAGAGGCGTTCGTCTTCGGCGGTTGGAGAAGATCTGGCACACCCGGACAAGATTCCCTTCTTCATAGGAGCTACCCTCCTCTTCTCCCCATCTTTTTTTTTTTTTTTTTTTTTTTTTTTTTTTGAGGGAGGCAATCATAGTCTTCGTTCGTCATTGGTCCTTGGTCCTACCGTCGTTCTTACATCGAAGAGACGTTCGGTATCCGCGGACATCACAATGAGGAACAGGTATATCTGCATCGAGATTCCCTTCTGCTTCGTTCGTCCTTGGTCCCTGGTCCCACCGGCGTCCCTACTTCGAGGAGACGTCCGGTGTCCGCCGACATCGCAAGGAGGAACAGGTTTATCTACATCGAGATTCCCTTCTTTATCGGTCGTTGGTGAGAACAGGATTTCAGAAAAAACAGGGGGCCTTATTATTGACGACGTCCGGCTATTTTACATGGTAGTGGGAATAATACAAGGACAACAGCCCCTAACTATTGATAGAACTTCCTCAAGTGCTCTACGTTCCACATCCCGGCATGGTTCCCCTCCATGGTGTGGAGGAGGAACGTCCCCTGGTTATATCTTCTGATGACCCGGTAAGGTCCTTCCCAGTTCTTCGCCATTTTGCCGCCTTCGAGCGGCTTGCTCTTCTCTCTTTTTCTGAGCACGAGGTCCCCGGCTTCTATTTCGCGGAATTTCACGGCCTTGTTGAAGTATCTTTGGGTGGCCCTGTGATATTCTTCCATGCGACGAGCCGCTAGGCCCCTCCGTTCCTCGATAAAGTTGAGCTCTGCTCGTAGGTTGATCTCGTTGTCCTCCGGCTGGAAGTGCTTGGTGCGATGGGTAGGCACCAGTACCTCCGTCGGTACCTTAGCTTGGAATCCGTAAGCCAAGGCAAAAGGGGTTTCCCCAGTCGCCGTTCTTGGCGTCGTCCTGTACGTCCACAAGACATAATTCAGCTGTTCCGGCCAGGTGGAGGTGTAGTCTTCCAACTTCTTCTTGATCCCGTCCATGATGGTCCGGTTCATGTTCTCCACTTGGCCGTTGGCCTGTGGGTAGGCCACCGAGGCCTTAGAGTGCCTGATGCCCCACTTCGCCAAGTATGCCTCAAAGCCTTTGCCGACGAACTGCCGGCCGTTGTCAGTGATGATCTGCTCTGGGATTCCGAAGCGGCAAATGATGTTCTGCCAGACGAACTTCTGGCACTGGAACTCAGTGATGGAGGCCAATGGCTCGGCCTCGACCCACTTAGTGAAATAATCAATTGCCACGATGACGAACTTCCTTCCACCAGCAGCCGTTGGCAGAGGACCCAGCAGGTCTATCCCCCACCTAGCAAAAGGTAGCGCGATGGTCATCGGGGTGTAGAAACTAGCTGGGCGGCCGGGGACAGGTGCATACTGCTGGCATACTGCGCACTTCCGAGTGTGGTTGAAGCAATCTTGCTGTATGGTCGGCCAGTAGTAGCCTTGCAGGATGATTTTCCTGGCCAAGGTCCGGGGGCCCTGGTGGCTGGAGCAGATCCCTTCATGTATTTCCTCGATTACTGCCGCCGCTAGGCTCGGCGGGAGGCATCTGAGGTAGGGCCCGCCGAACGTCTTCTTGTAGAGCTGCCCGTCAATAAGTTCAAAGTTAGGGGCACGCCTCTTTATCCACGCGGCTCTTCCCGTATTGCCATCACCTTCGGGCCCAGGGAGTGTTCCATCTCTGAGATAATCTGCTATCTCCTTTGCCCAGTTAGGTTCAGCAACGGAGATAACCTCCACCTGGATGACGTCCGTCGCCGGTACTGGGAACACCTCCTGCCTAACGAAGCCTCTGATGTGTCGGGGGATGCTTGACGCCGGGTCATCGGTTGGGGGGTTGCTTAGTTTTGACAGTATGTCCGCCTCTGCATTCTCCACCCGCGATACCTGCTCAAGCACCACCTGTTCAAATTGTGCGGTCTGCTCCTCCGCCAGCTCCCTGTAGACCTTCATTCTCTCTTCCCTGGTTTCTGCCGTGCCGTTCATCTGGGTTACCACCAGCTGGCTGTCCATTCTCACCTTCAGACGAGCTGCTCCGAGGGCTTTCGCGCATTTTAGTCCTGCGATCAGCGCCTCGTATTCAGCCTCGTTGTTGGTGACCTTGAACTCGAATTTCATAGAGTAATAGGCCTTGAAACCCTCGGGGGAAGTGATCACCGCTCCCCCGCCACAACCCCGCGCACTCGAGGCCCCATCGGTGTACATCTCCCACCAATTATCGAAGTCGTTGCTGTCATGGGTTTCGTCCTCGGTGCGCGCGGTGCATTCTGCAATGAAGTCTGCCAGTGCTTGTCCCTTGATCGTCGGCCTTGGTTTGAAGTCCACGTCATACTGGCCGATCATCAAGGACCACTTGGTTATCCTTTCGCTTGCCATTGGGTTCCTGAGGACTGTGGCGAGGGGCTGAGTTGTGTAGATAGTCACCGGATGTGCCTGGAAATACGGCGCCAGGCGCTTGATGGATGCAATCAAGGCGAGGATCGTCTTTTCCATCAGTGTGTACCTTGTCTCGGGGCCGTTCAGCGCCTTACTTACAAAGTATATTGGCCGCTGAACGCCTTCGGATTCCTTTAGCAGCACGGCGCTTACGGCCAGCTCGGCCACCGCCAAATACATATACAATCTCTCCCCGGGATCCGCCTTGGTGAGGACGAGCGGAGAGGAGAGATATGCCTTGAAATCCTCGAAAGCAGCCTGACACTCCGGGGTCCATTGGAAGGGATTGGCCTTCTTCATGATCTGGAAGAAAGGGATCGCCTTATCGGCGAGCTTGGATAAGAATCTGCTCAGGGCTGCCAGACGCCCGGTGAGTCGCTGCACGTCTTTTAGGTTCTTTGGGGCCTCCATGTCCATAATTGCCTTCACCTTCTCCGGGTTAGGCTCGATCCCCCGCTCGCTCATCATGTAGCCGAGGAATCTGCCGCCCTTGACGGCGAAGGCACACTTTTTCGGATTGAGCCTCATGCTGGCCCTCTCCATGATGCTGAAGATCCTCTCCATGTCCTGGACATGGTCCTCCTTTTTCTTGCTTTTGATTAGGATGTCATCCACATAAGCTTCCATCGTCTTTCCAAGCACGTCTTTGAATAACATCCCAATCATCCTCTGGAAAGTAGCCATGGCGTTCCTCAGGCCGAATGGCATGACGATGTAGCAATACACGCCGTCCGCCGTGACGAACGCCGTTTTTTCGGCATCATCGGGATGCATGAACACCTGATGGTAGCCTCTGAATGCGTCCATGAAGCTGAGCAGCTCGCAGCCCGCTGTCTCATCCACCAGCAAGTCGATCCTCGGTACAGGATAAGGGTCCATCGGACAAGCTTTATTGAGGTCCGAGTAATCGACGCACATCCGCCAAGTGTCGCCCTTCGGGGCTAGTACCACGTTGGCCAACCACTCCACGTGGATGACCGGCCGGATGTGTTTAATGCTGAGGAGAGTTGCTGTCTCCTTCCTGATGAACTCGCGTCGGTCGGCCGCCATATATCTTTTCTTTTGCTGTACGGGCTTGGCGTCCGACCGCACGGCGAGTCTATGGCATATGAGGTTGGGGTCGATGCCTGGCATGTCCTCTGGTCCTCTGGCGAACAAGATCCTGAACCTCCGGAGGACGGCTATGACCCCTGCCCTGATTTCCGGCTCTAGATCCGCACCGATGGACACCTTCCTGTCCGTCGGATCGTCGAGCTCGATTTCCTCCAGCAGGGTTGCTGGTTCTAGATGAGCGTCCAAGTCGGCCTGTTTGGCCTTTTCGGAGATGCTGTTGACCCGAGCCTCCCGCTCGTTGAGCTTCTCCATGGCCTTCGTGTAGCAGGCCCTGGCCATATGTGGGTCCGTACGTGCCACCCCCACTCCAGTGTCGGTGGGGAATTTGATGCATGAATGTCGTACGGAGCATATGGCCCCCAAGTCTTCCAAGCCGGGTCGGCCCAAAATGGCATTGTGGGCGCACTTCAGGCGGACCACGACGAACGTCATGCTGATCCGGGCAGTGTGAGGGCCGTCGCCGACCTCTACCGGTAAAATGATGGTGCCCTCAGCGTCAATGCAATCCCCGGTGAAGCCGGACAGCGGGGTGCGTAGGGGGTGCAGCATGTCCTTCCGGAGCCTCATTCCTTCGAAAGCCTCCCAGTAGAGGACGTTCACACTGCTCCCGGTATCAACGAGGACGCGACGGACGATAGCATCGTTCACGTCCATGCTGACCACCAGCTCGTCTCTGTGCGGCGCCGGTGACATTGGCAGGTCAGCGGGGCCGAAGGTAATTGCCTCGGCTCTATTGCGCTTGGTGGGGGGTGCCGATACGGAACCCACATAGAGTGATCTCTCAAATTTTTTCCGCTCGGCGGGTGTATCCCCTGTCTCAGCGCCCCCGAAGATCACCTTGATCTCCAACTTCTTTTTCTCGCCCTTCGGGCCGAGGGATCCCTCCGGACGTTTATCTGTACTTCGATAATCCACGTCCTGAGGTTCTGCCTCGCGCCGATCGTCGCGGCGCCATGTTTTGTGCCTTGAGTTCGGCTTCTGCTGGCTGTTTTTGTTCAGCAGCTGGGCGAACTCGCCCAGGTACCCCTGACGGATCAGCTCGTCGATCGCTTTCTTTAATTGGCTGCAATTATCCGTCAGGTGGCCGGTCCTCTGATGGTATTCACAGTAGGCCGATTGGTCGTGCCCCATATACCTCTTCATATCTTGAGGCTCCATAAGGAGGCCCTTGTCCTTAATGGCCTCGAAGATCTGGCTCACTGGGTAGGCCAAGGGAAAATAACGGTCGTCCGGCCGCGCTTGGCTGTCTCCGGACGGAGCCTTCCAAGGGACCATTGCCCCGTCCACCTTCTTCTTTTTGTTTGGGGGGGAGGGGTTGGTTCCTGGTCCGGGTCCGAGTCTGTCTGCCATCTTCCGTGGCTGGGCCGCGGGAATTCCGTCCTGCTGCCTGATCTCCTCCTCAATGGAGGCATACTTCTGGGCCCGAGCAAGAACCTCGGTGTAGCTGGTGCCGGGATTCCTCCTTAGGTCCCGGTATAGATCCCCTGTGGCCAGCGCACTGGTGAACATGTTGGCGGCCAGACGTTCGTCCAGATCGTCGACCTGCAGGACCTCGTCCCTCCACCTTACCAGGAACCTAGCCAGCGGTTCGTCCCGCCCTTGTTTGATGTGGGCGAGAGCCGTGACGTCCTTCCTGGGGGTGGTGCTGGCAGCAAACTGCGCCATGAACTGCCGGGAGAGCTGTTCATATGAGTCGATGGTGCCTGGCCTCAGCTGGCCGAACCACTCTTGCGCCGGCCCCCTGAGGGTGCTGAAGAACAATCTGCAGATGGCCTCGTCTGATGCTCCCAGCATGGACAGGTTCCCTTGGTAGCTTATCAGATGGGCCTTGGGATCGCCAGCCCCATTGTACACCAAGTTGCCCGGGGGCCTGCAATCCCGGGGAATCTCGACGCTCATCACCCGTGGAGTAAAAGGTGATGTGAGAGAGAAGGAGGGTGCGGCCGAGCCGACGTCCGCCCGCCTATTCATCTCGGCTATCTGCCTCTCCATGGCTTCCAGCCGTGCGTCCTGTGCGGCCCTTCCGGGGGACACAGGGGGCGCGGCTTCGGGGACGGCGCTCTGCTGAGCGGCCACAGCATCGCGCGGCCGCCTAAAGATCTGCGTCCCTCGCCGTTGGAAACGTCGCCCAACGGTATTGATCCTTGGGGTCTCGTCCCCCCGCGGGATCTGGCGGGGGGCCGATGGCGTGTGAGCCCTGGACGCGGCAATGCTGGCCCTGGTTCGTCCTCCCGTTCCCTGGGAGCTGGAACCCTCGCCTAGCCGCTCGTGGACTGAGGGTCGATGATCGCTGGACCCCATCGTTTCATCATACGACTGCATGCGGCGAACGGGAGATAGGGGGGTTCGCTGGGTGCTTGCCGAGTACACTTGCTCTCGGGCTTCCCGTTCGTCTGCCAAACGGCGCATGGTGTCCGCAAGTTCCCGCATGAGGCGGGGATCCTGCCTGGCCTCAAGGGGAATGAGGTCGGTGATACCCCCGTTTCCCCCGGAGGTCCATATTGTTGCGGATCGTTCCGAGTTCTGGCCGCGATTCCGGCGGCTTGACTCCAGACGTTCGGAGAGATCACGCTGGTTGTGGCTTCCTGACATCGTGTTTGCTGTAGGTAGACTTAGTAGCTGCTTGGGAGAGTTTCTGGAAACTTTTTGCTCAGTTTCCCACAGACGGCGCCAGTGTTGAGGTTTATTCCTTCAACCCTTGGACCCAACAAGTAAGCCCAAAGATTTCGAGTGGAGTGAGTGTGTGGTTATCTAGCCCAACAACTATCAGATGAATCAGGAAACAAGAGTAATAGCAGGCAATGTAAATAGGTATTATTAACTTCGTAATAACTCCCCTAAGTACAATCTACTTGCTAAAAAGGGCACGTCGGCCGTTCGTCTTACAAGGCGATAGAAATGCTACTCGTAAGAATGCTGGAGCTAGTATGCTAAGAATAGAAAGTTGCCAACCCTTTACAATGAAATAAATGCTTCTATTTATACCCGCCAATGGGCAGGTGGCTGCACTGACGTGGCAGCCTGTGGACCGCTGGTGTCCCAACTACCAAATCTTTAGCATTAAATGCACTTCCCGCCAGAATCTAGGTTTCCCGCCGGATCAGTGGGGACGTTCGTCCACCCCGGAAGTGAGTTGGATTGCTCCAAGTGACCTTTGAGGGATATCGGCTGTTCGTCGCCTGGCCTTAATAGATACTCACTATGTGCACTGGGTTTTCCCCGATGACCACAGGCTTGCTCCGGGGACGTTCGTCGCCATCCCTGCTGGCCCGTGGTTCTGCTCTTTGTCTCTGCACAGACGTTCGTCGGAATGAGCTGCTGGGCCTGAGTCCTCCAACACCAGACGTTCGTCCATCCTCAAGAGACATGGGCCTGTGGGCTGGCCTGGTTTCTAGCTGGACGTTCGTCTGGCAAAATGGGTTAGTGGGCCGGACCTCGGCTTGGGCCCTTAACCCAACAAATGTATAAGAAATGTTATGAACCACAATTTTTTTTTTCAAAAAGTGAAAAAGTAGATAATTTTGGGATGGATGAAAAATAAAAGTTTGAAGATAATTTTGGAAAGAATGAAAAATGACAGTTTAAAGATAATTTTAGAACGGAGGGAGTGTCAAATTTCATTATTTTTTATGATCTTGCTAATGGTGTCAGTATATAAAAATGAGAGAGAGAGAAATTTTCTTTCAAACAAGATATTAAAAATTGTAAAATATAAAAATAATTGATATATTTCTTAAAAAATTGGATTAAAAATGAAAAGGTTGAAACGCAAAATAATTAATAAATGCCTTGCCACATGGTAGGCAAGTAAGGTGAGGGTGATGTTACCCTCTTTTTGGGGGTGAACAAATTTGATTTCAAAAAAATTGAGTATAAGTTATAAGAACGCTGAAACGAGAAGATGGAAAAGGGAGAGAGTCATGGCTAGGCATGTCAAAAAAAAACCGACCCGCAATGACTCGCCCTAGTCCGAGACATTTGGGGCAAGTCCGCCCCGCCCCGTCTTGCAAATGGGGCGGGTCCGCCCCGCCCCGCACATACAATGGGGCGGATCCGGGTCTTATTATTGACCTGTGCCGCCCCGACCCGCCCCGACCCGACTCGCTCAATATATAAGTATACATACTTTTTTTTTTTAAAATTATACTATAAATATACTTCTACATACATACATGTGTATACAATAAATCATAAATTCTTCGGTCTTTAGTATATTATCTCATAATATTTGTATTTGAATGATACGGACGACGAATTATCAATGTCTTTTATATATTCAATTGCTAATATAAAAAAAAGGTTAACTATTCAATTCTAAGTATTTTTTCTTAATTTTTAAATTTTTAAACGTATTGTGACTTTGATTTAAATTATTATTTTTTAATAATTATTTAGAAATAAACTTTAAGTAGATTCAAGTGGTAACAACTTCACACAAATAGAAATGCTTGGTAGCTAATTAGGTTAAAATGGGGCGGGGAGGATCCGCCCCGCATGGGGCAGGTCATGGGTCAACAAGTTTGGACCCGTGCGGGTTATGGGGCAGGGTGGGTCCGGGTCTTGCAGTACCCGCCCCGCCCCGCCCCGACCCATTGCCATGCCTAGTCATAGCACCGGCATCGAGTACTGATGGTGGGTAGCTGCAAGCATGGGCAGATCTAGGGGAGGGTCATCTAGATCCTGGCCCACTCCAAAGTTAAAAAATGCTTTAATTTTTAAGGTAAAAAAATTTGTATAAATTTTTTCCCAAACATATTCTTTTTATCAGCCAGGCAACATGCATTGGTCAATTAGGATGGGGAATCTCCACCTTTAGAAGAGGTTACGCCGGTGGTTCCCATTTCATGTCATTTAAAGCGTTTTTTCATTGCCTCTCTCTTTGTAGGTGCCACTAATTCCAGGGCACAAGAAAACTGAGATGATGATTTGTTTAAGCAGCCTGATCTTGCATTTTAGCTGAAAAGATAACTATGATGATGAATGTAGTTGAGCTACATTATTGTTTAAAAGTGTTACTATGTTTAAAATTATTACAATAATCAGTACACTTAAGAGGTCACATTTTTATAAATCACATTTATTTTAGTCACAACTATGTAATTATTTATGTAATATAAGTTGTTTGAAATTAAAATCCTTAAAACTAAAGAGTTGATAAGCCAAAGAAAAGCGGACGACTCCCTAGGGTTGGTTTTTTCGGCGAATGGTCTCTTGTGTTCGATGTTTTGTTCCAAACCAGTGTTAGGGTTTTGAGGTGGCGAGTTCGTTTGTGGCATAGAAGAGGAAGACTCGGTTTTCAGAAGAAGCAACACGGGGATAGCTTTGTTGGCGAGAAGGGTAAATGTGTGGCAGAGAACGACATAGTGAAGGAGTAAGGCGAGTTTTCTATTTTAGACTAGATCTACGATCTCTTGGTCTTGGAGGAAGAAGATAAAGTGATTGTTCGCCCCCCTCCTGAACTACCGGCATGGATTTAACATGTGACTATGGTTTGGTCAGCTGTGATTTCTTGCTCTATTTTTGCTTCAAGCTTTATTTTTCTTTCGTTCGATTTTTTACCTTATTTTTGGATTATTATTTTTAGTGGTAGCCTTGAGATGTGTAGGACCGTTAGTTGCCTCAAAGGTTCCGTATGTTCAGCGAAACATTTCTCTCAATTTTAAGTGAACTTTTGTATGTCTGTTCAGGAACTGAGAGGATCTTTCACTATTATGATGACCTTAAAAGTCTTTATGAACTTAAAAGTCTTTATGAACTCTATGCATGACTCTCGTTTGAAGTTCAACGATTCACGTTGCTTCTTTGCAAGTGACCGTCTTAAAGTCTGATTGTAAGGGTTTTATTGAGTCTAGATGGTACATTTTGGAAGATAGATGGTCTTAAAATTATTTATTTTAGGGAAAAGTACGGAAAAGTTACTTGTGGTTGGACCCGTTTTCAGATAGGGTCATGTGTTTCATTCTTTATCAAAGTGGTTCATGTGTTTGAATTCTGTTACCACAAGGGTGGTTTAACTCGGATTTTTAAAAGTGCCCAGAAAATTAAAAGAAAAATACCGGAAGGTGCGCCTGAATAAGACGACCGCTAGGCCATCTTTATATTTTGTTTTCAACCACCCTTGTCACCGGAAAGTCCACCGGAAAAGTGATATTAGAGAAATCAATTTTAAAAAATAATTCAAACAGATCTGAAAAATCCAAAGGCGAAAGTGGATTGGAAGTCATCTTGACGAGGCGCACCTTTCGGTATTTTTCTTTTAATTTTTCGGGCAATTTTGAAAATCAG